GCACACTGCCACTTTAGCTCTCAAAAGAGCTAACTAGTTTTGAGAGCTAAAGTGGCAGTGTGCCGATTTACTTTGAATCTTTTGCTACTTATGTTTGTTTTTTGATCGTGCACCTGCCTTCAAGATTTTTCTAGATGTGCGCACATTTCTGTTTTTTAAAAGTGCTGGGTTCCACACAATTCCTTCATGCTGTCCCAACACAAATGAAGTTAACTTAAACATTTTTAAAAATTAAGTGGATTGAACATAAAACAATTAAGTGGTCCCAAAAACGTAATAATTATGTTGTAATTTTAAATAGACAAGTTACGGCTTTTAATCAAGCAGCAAAAGTCATTTTTGAGTGTACAAAAGCAAGTGATACAGTATGTACACACACACACACACGCACACACACACACAGACAATAAATTATATAAAATTAAAAAGCAGAAAGAGGGTGGATCCATCGTAAATTTAATTTCAAATTGTATCGATAATTTTTTTTTATCCTCTAATGGCAAAAATTAATTAATAGGGTATTGGTAAGTAGGGTTGGGCGATGTCGACCAATTTGGTATCGTACGATGACTAATGTGAAACATCGCGATGGATTGTGATCATGTAAAATGGGGGGGGGGGGAGCGATAGGTGGTTGGAAGCAGTGTTTGACAGAGTGTGTGCGACGTGTCTGAAGAGCGAGGAGGGATCCGGGGGTGAGAAAGGTGCGCGACTTATTTGAGGACCGGGAGGGAGACCCGCGATTTCCGGAAGATTATCACCCGTTTGCGGGCATTTTGAATCCCGAGAGACTCACGAAACTTCTGCGAGACTTGGGATGTCTGGATATCATGTTTAACAACTATAGTGAGATGCGATCTATAGTTAGTATTTATTATATGCATATTTATTTTTAATAAAAACAAGCTTAGATTTGTCAACCTGTCTGGTTTTAGACTATATGGGGCACAGCATGTGTATTTGGATGGCTGTTTTGGCCACACTTGGTTATTATTGTTCATTTATTTGTTTGCTGGAAATTAGAACTGAATTTAGAAATAGTTTTGAAACAAATCTTTGTGCTTAACAAATGAAAGTATGTAGGCTAGTGGATATCTGTGAGTAGCCTACAACACCGTTTCTTTATCTACGAAAGAGAGAAAGAAAAAGTGAAAGTAAAGAGGCTGATTGGAGGAGGCTCGTTCTTTATCCTTGCGCTGCAGATGCTCTGTTTAACTGTTTTCTTGCTAGTGAAGCATTCAGTTTTTCAACGTACAAAGTCTGCCATGTAAATAGCAAATGCGCTATGGCGTGACGCAACTGACTCTTAAAGGGAATGTGAGATGAGATTTGTTTAATGCACGTATGCTCAGAACACACCCATAACTCGTTAAGAGAATAAGCTCAACCCTGTTATACCATGAGCTGGGGCGCAGAGCATATTTTTTCTTCCTTAAAATAGCAAAAGTGGATTCAGACATGGCCTTAATTCTTTTGCGCCATGCGCTTTAGACTTGCCTAGATCATTAAAATTAAGCCCCATGTCTAAAAAATATTTTACGTTTTTTTACTCCAGTATTTCCAATGGTGTTTCTGTGCTAGCCTGCTGATTCTGAAGGACAAAGTGCGTGTAAATGGCTTTTCATCCAACTAAATGAATGCTGAAGTCTATTTAACTGATTATAGTTTAACTACATTACAACATCAATGCTGTTAAAAGAACCAAATAAAACTGAAATAGTCACATTAACCATTCACTGGAAGTATATTAATATGAGAAGAAACACTAGCTCTGCATATATCCTATTCTATTTTTAATAATCACACTTCATAAAAACAGTCTGCAGAAACACTTTGATTGACCTTCTCCCTTTGTACGTGTCAATTTTGATCAGTGCCTAAAAGGGTCTATAGCATTTTATAAAAGAGTTATAAAAGATTATTTATGTGGGTTTTTTTTTTCCTTTTTTTTGACATGCACACTAGGGAATAGACTGCATGATAGTGGCAAAATCTGATACTGTGATCCATTCATTAATCCATCCGTTTATCCGTCA